ATGTCAGTCAAATCTGCCAAAGCAAATTAAAACACATGAATCTGATTAGACAAATAAATTGCTGCTTTTGTAAACAGGTTAATGCATAGTTCTTAATTCAGCCCTATGTAAAGCACATTTAAATTCCCACATGAAACTTGGAGGGAAGCATGTAGACTGGATGGCTATGTGAAAGCTAAGGGATCACTTGATGAACAGGAGTATTGCAAAAAAAACCCAAAAAAAAACAACAACTTTTCTAGATATATGTGTATGGGCGATTCCCATTGAAATCAATTAGAATGATAAATATGATGTATTTTGCTTTCTTTTCTGAATTGATTATCAACTGATCTTGATTCAAAGCTGCTTGTATGATTGTTGACAGATTAAAGCATTAGTATACAGATTGTAAAAGCCTGACAGCCTGCATAATAAAAAACTATTCTTCCTACTGTGACACTGATGTTCCATGTCTTAGCCATAGGAGAAAAGTTATGACAAACCAAACTTCTGCCGTACAAAGGAGCATCTGTGACTCACACACAGATCCTCTTTCTTCAATGACCTTTGATGAGCGACAAAAATGAAACAAGATGGGCTGTAAACCATTCAGCCAAAATCTATTTCTCCAAGATTGTATTTATTTATTTTTTTGCTAACAGGGGACATGAATTTAACATGCAGACTACCACAACTGCTTTCTGTGCTTTCTTTTGTATCTAATGTTTTATAGATCTAAATTTTATGTGTTTTTCCAAATGCTTTACATGTCATTATTATACTTTATAAAAAATTTTTGAAATGTGGGAATTATATATGAAAATCCTATCATGAAGTACCATATACTGTGAAACAATAAAAAGAAGAAAAAAATGCTTGATAGCAAGCAATAAAATTGGAAAATCGACTAACATATAAATCCTAAGGATATTGTGGTCTGACATCAGTCAAAAAAAAAAAAATATATATATATATCAGATTATATCGGCCTGCATCCTAAATTATCTAATATAAGCAGGCTTTAGAAGCGCTATGCTCCAGCTGTCATGATCTTGGCACTGATGACAGGATTATTGGTTCATTGCTTCCTCCTGCCTAGCTCCACCCATTTTGTATTACATCTTATCAGATCCATCAGTTCTAGCTTCTACTTAAAGTGTTTAGTCGCAGCCATCAGTGCCAGATTGTTGGAGCTATAGGTCAGAGTTCTCTAGCGTACCCAATTTGTTGTTCTGATAACCTGATCCTGAGTAGTTTCTGCTGTTTAACCTCCTAGCTTGCCTGCCCCTGTTTTGTTCTGTTTGCCCGACCCGTCTCTGGACTCCTGCTGGATTCTGCATGCTTATGGCTTTGGATCTGTCTCCTGACTAGGGTGGCCATTTCTATAGCACCAAAAAGGAGGACATTGTGCGGCATATCAATAAATTACTAAGGTGTACATAAGAATCGGGTAAAGTCACATTTATAGCACAATTCTTAGTAGTTTAAAGAGGATGCTTGTGTAGCTGAATAGAACAAAATATTAAAGAAATGTAAAAAAGAATTGGTTCCCAGCATTTGTATTNAGGACAGAGCAGAGAACAGAGCTAGGGATAGAGGACACAAGAGGGCAGCAGAGGACAACAAATGGAAAACCTGGAGGACAGGAACTAACAAGAAAACAACAAAATAATAATTAGACATTAAAACAAGAAGCAAAGTAAGACTGAATACTCTAAATAAACATAACAAAACCAAGACTGTGACAGTCATGATCTTGGCACTGATGACAGGATTATTGGTTCATTGCTTCCTCCTGCCTAGCTCCACCCAGTTTGTATTACATCTTATCAGATCCATCAGTTCTAGCTTCTACTTAAAGTGTTTAGTCACAGCCATCAGTGGCAGATTATTGGAGCTATAGGTCAGAGTTCTCTAGCATACCCAATTTGTTGTTCTGATAACCTGATCCTGAGTAGTTTCTGCCGTTTAACCTCCTAGCTTGCCTGCCCCTGTTTTGTGCTGTTTGCCTGACCTGTCTCTTGACTCCTGTTGGATTCTGCCTGCTTATAGCCTTGGATCTGTCTCCTGACCCCGGCTTGGATTTCCATATGGTACCACTGCGGATACCTGGTCTCCCTCATCTGCTGGTGTCTGGTCATCAGTCAACTCTGCATCCTTTTGGCGTGGAAAATCATCTGGCTGGATTCCACTCCTTCCTCTGGGCACTGACTGCACTTTATAACCAGGTTAGTGACTCACATGCTCGTATTGCCCTACATCAAAGTTTCATGGTCACTAAAGCCAGGCTTACACTATAAGATTTTTTGCTCTTTTCAGGACGATTCTCCAGTCGTGCGAGATTTTTTGATCGGGCCAACTTTAGGCCTGATCGTGTGTCGTGTAGTGTGCAGGGGGTAACGAGGAACAATCAGCCTTTCATGTCCACCTACCGATCAGAAATAGTAAGGTCTGAAGAAAATCACACATGTTTGAAATTCAGTCATCCCTCGTAAGGTGTTTGTGGGCAAATTGCTCAGTGTGAATGTGCAAACAAGGATTCTTCTTCTTCCTCTCAGACGAAAACACAGAAGCATGGTGGGGGTGCAAGGGAAATTGAGTTCTTTCCGTAAAACTAACTACGTACTAGACATGTTTCTCAGCCATGTCTTTGTCCAAATATGTCGTTGCCTTTTCTTTTTAGGGCTTTCAGCCAAAAATTGCACAAATTGCCAAGGCAGCGTGTTTCTCTCTAGTGAGCTTCATATTCCTCTTCTACTCATTTGGCTTCCGGATAGACGAGTCAGAGTATTGCCATCTCACAGCGGAGCTGAGCCCGACGTAGTTTTTAGACGTACAATGTGAGCAGATAGATTGCATCAGCGTCAGTCCGCACAGTGTAAGAACATAAATCTCGAGCTGCGAACCCTTAAACCCTACAGTTTCATAGAGCAGTGTTAGCTGTAGCTGCGTGCAACGATAGAAAAAAAATCATACAGTATATGCCCGGGTTAACCTGTGTTTTTCCCTCTGCAGAGACCGCAGCCTTTTTGTTCTAGCTGCTGATTCGCAAATTTGTTAAGAAATTCAATAAAC